AGGGGAGACAGTCCCGGGGGTTGGTCGGACGCCGCGGGCTCAGCCGACGGTCCCTCGGACGCCGCCATCTCCAACCCACGAAGAGGACCGTGGCTCCTGCCCCGCGCACGCGCATTGCGCGCCGGAGCCTGCCCACGGCCCTGCGCGTCACCTACACCGCCTCCGCGTCCCCTCCACCCGTAGCCTTAGGAAGTGAGAGCGCCTGCGCAGTGTGAGGGAGGCGGGGCTGACGCAAGCGGTGGTGGGCGGGGTCTAAGATGCGCTGAAGCCGAAGTTGGCTTACCTGTTCTTCTGTCATCTGGGCGAAGGCTCTGTGTTGGGGTCGATTTTCTTTAGGACCTGGTCATTTTGGGGTTTGGCGTGGAGGTTCAGAATATGGGCTTTGGAGTCAGACTCGGGTTAAGTCCTAACCCTGACACAATCTGTGTGATTTTAGGACATTATCTAGCCTGAGTTCCGTTTCTTCAGTAGTGAAATGAGGACACAGTTACTTACCGGATTATTGGGAAGCTTTGATGTGCCAACACAGCCTGGCACATATAAAGCTTCCAAAAATGATAGCACTTATTAGTTGTGTTACAGGAGGAACTAAGTCTGGCTGTTTTTTCTCACAGAAAAGGGAAATGAGGCAGAGGTTGAGGAGGGAGTTTATTCTGTAACCAGTTACAGGGAGACAGTCAGCAAGTACCATCAAACTATCTTGAAAACCTCAACACGTTGATGATATTTATAGGTACAGGGTACAAGCACATGCAAATCATCTCTACAGAGTCAATCATTTTCCCCTGAGTAGTTATCTTGATTCCTTCAAATAATCTTTCCCGGTTTCTCATCTGACCATTCCTCAAATGGATCTCCCTATGACTCAGCATTTGGTCAGATTGTTCTTAGAATCCTTTCTTAATTTCAAAATGGCTGCAGCCCTGCTAAACCTTAAACTGACTTGCTATGGGAGTGCCAATCACAGAGACCAATAGGTTACCGATTTTGGTTGCATGGCCTAGGAGCTAGAGATTTGAATTTGAAATGATAAAACCTGGGTTCAAAATTTCGCTTGCTGGCTGCATGACCTTAGGCAAATTTCACCTGGTTACCAAGGTTGATGGCTTGAACTTGACTATCTTTTCTATGGAATATCCCCTTGTTGTGGATAAGTTGCTGCCACATAGTCAGTGGGTTTGAATTTGGGCCAAACCTCCTAAAAAGTATGGCAAGGGGAACAAAAGAAATATTTCTTTCTTTTCCAAAAAGTATGCTTTTTCTCAATTACAAATAAAGTGTTATTGAAACCAGAAAACATTAAATTCTATTTACTACATTGAGGACTAGTTTTCAGAAATATCAACCTTAGGATGTGGAGAGCTATGAAGTTCTCCCAGCACAATGCCCCCAGAGATCGATTTAGTTTGCAGGAAAGACATTTTGCCATGCCATGCTTCTGTCCACTTTAGGAAAGTGGAAGGCTTAAGCTGCTGAGGCTTCTTTTATTGTAATCTTGCTTTGCTTCCCCCCACCCCTGCCTTTTTTGGGGGGGGAGGAATTTTTGCTATTAGAGCATGTGTGGTCACTGGAGAGACAGAGACAGAAAGCGAGATATCACCTCCTTGAGGAGAGCTATGCCACAATCCCTTCTCCTCTCAGGATTTTAGGAATGGGCACACATGAGTTTCTAACCTCCAGGTCCAGGACTTGAACTGTGGTCTGTCATGTGAGAGTCCAGCAACATAACCATTATGCCATCTGCTGGTCTCCCCCTGCCCTTTTTTTTTTTTTTTAATAATAATTTTATTTTAACTTTATTTATTTATTTTAATTTGACGAGAAAGAGAGAGGGGGAAAGTGAGAAAGCAAGCCTCCAGGTCCAGGACTTGAACCGTGGTCAGCCACATGGGAGTCCAGTGCCCTCAACCACCACGCCACCTGCCAGCCCCACTCTGCCCTTGTTTTTGAAGGTTCTTATTTTTAACTGCTCTATCAGAAGAAACATTTCAACAAAATGTCTTGTTGGAGATTGATATCCCTGTTACATGAAGACTATTTCTTGTTCATCTAAAGGTAGTCATTAGAAATTTTATTTGGTTAGCCTCAAAAGTCTTTGGTAAAGTCCCATGTTAGGAATAACTGAAGTAATTCCAAAGTCGGAGTAACTAGAGAAATGCCTCTTAACTAGCTTGATAGAAAGTCATTCAATAAAATGGAGATTCCACATACTTACAATTCTAAGTTTGTTAAACCGCTTCACTTTTTTGGCATCAAATAAATAATAAAATAAGATGATGACACGTTCTCATTAAAAACAATAATAATAAAGTGCTGGTGAAGATGTGGAGAAATAGGGATATTGTTAGTAGGCATGAAAATGGTTCAGCTACTGTTGAAAAATAGTTTGACTATTTCGCAGAAAGTCAAACATGGATTACCAAAGGAGTCAGCAGTTCCACTCCTGGTTATACACCCAAAGAATTAAAAACAAGTGTTCATGGGACCAGCAACTGGCATAATGACTATGTCACTGGTCTCCCACCTAGCCAACCGTGGTTTGAGTCCCAGACCCGGTGGCTTAAACTCACGCTAGGGGTGTGTGTGCGTGCCCAAGATGCCGAGAGGAGAATGGAGGAGAAGGGATTGCAGCGTGGCCATTCCCTTGGGGGGGAATGATTTCTTGCTTTCTGTCTCTCTGTCTCTGTCTTTCTGGTGAGTGCATGTAACCTATAGCAAAAAACCTCTCCAAAAATAAAACAGGTGTTCACACAGAACCCTCTAGGCAGCAGCACTCTTCACAGTAACAAGAAGTTAGACACTACACAAATGCCCATCAACTGATGAATGAATGAACAAGATACAGTATATCCATACAGAGGGATATTATTCAGCCATAGAAAAATGAAGCCCTGATACATGCTACAACATGGATGAACATTGAAAACATTATCCTAAGTGAAAGAAGCCAAGCACAAAAAGCCATGTACTGTATGGGTCCATTTATATGAAACACACAGAATAATAAACCCATACTGACAGAAAGCAGATTAGTGGGTGCCAGAAATAGAAGGGAGAGATAAATAGAAAGTGACTGCGTAATAAGTATGGGATTCCTTTTTTTAAAAAAAGGATTATTTTATTTAATTTTATTTAGTATCATTTTTTAAAATTTGACCAGAGAGAGAGAGAATGAGAAAGCAAGCCACCAGCTCTGGGAGTTGAACTGCGGTTGGCCATGCTGGAGTCCAACACCTTAACCACCATGCCACCTGCTGGCCCCTGAGGGTTTCTTTTTGAGGTGATGAAATTGATCTGATACTAGATAGTGGCAATGGTTGCACAGCCTTGTGGATGTATTACATGTTGCTAATGATAAATTTTTGCCTTATAGAAAAAAATCCTCCAATTCTGGCCCAGGTCGGTAACGGAAGTGAATGAACCTGGCTGGATATGTACCTGCAACCAACTAGAGTATAACAGTCTCTTTCAAAGGGAGGGGGAGCTGCAAAGGCCCATCATTGTGCACTCTTTAAGAAAAGTAACTGCTTCTCCAATTTCAGTGCACATGCAAGTTACCCGGTGGTCTTGTGAACAGGCAGATTTTGATTTGGTAAGCCCAGAGTGGGGCCTGAGAATGTGCATTTCTTTCTTTTTAAAAATAATTATTTTATTTAACTTTATTATTCTTTTCCAGCTTGATCAGAGAGAGACAGAGAAAGAAAGAGGGAAAGTGAGGGACCAGCAGTTAGCGTAATGGCTATGTTGCTGAACTCCCATGTAGTCGACCACGGTTTGAGTCCTGGACCCGGCGGCTTAAACTCACGCCGGGCGTGTGTGCGTGCATGCCCAAGATCCCGAGAGGAGAATGGAGGAGAAGGGATTGTGGTGTGGCCATCCCCTCTGGGGGGGTGATTTCTATCTCTTTGTCTCTCTCTGTCTCTCTGGTGAGCACATGCACCCTATAGCAAAAACCTCTATTTAAAAAAAAAAAAAGAGGGAAAGTGAGAAAGCAAGTCACCAGGTCTGGAAGTCGAACCGCAGTCAACCATGTGGGAGTCCAGCACTTTTAACTACCACGCCACCTGCCAGCCCTGAGAATGTGCATTTCTGACAGGTTCCCTGGTGGTGCTGCAGCTCCAAGACCACACTTTGAATAATAGTGAGCATCCAGATCACAGATTCTCAATTTTTTTTTGAGAGTTTTTTGCTATAGGGTGTGTGCGCTCGCCAGAAAGACAAAGAGAGACAGAGAGACAGAGAGAAAGCAAGAAATCACCCCCCAGGGGGGATGGCCACACAGCAATCCCTTCTCCTCTGTTCTCCTCTCGGGATCTTGGGATCTTGGGCATGCACACACACACACCCAGCGTGAGTTTTAAGCCACCGGGTCCAGGACACAAACCACGGTTGACTACATGGGAGTCCAGCGACATAGTCATTATGCCAACTGCTGGTCCCCAGATTCTCAAATTTGACTGAACAGTGGAAGCACCTGAGTAATTTAAGAAATACCAATGCTGGACCAACAGGTGGCATGGTGGTTAAGGCACTGGACACTCACGTGGTCGACCACGGTTTGAGCCCTGGAACTGGTGACTTGTGTTCTCACTTTCTCTCTCTCTCCCGTCAAATTAAAAATAAAGAAAGAAAGTTAAATAATTTTAAAAAAGAAAAAAGAAACACCAACACTTAGACAACCCACCCCTAGCAATTCTGATGGCATAGCTCAGAGGTGAGACCTGAGTGCCAGGACTTTGTAAAGCTCCCTTCCCACCCCAGGTAACTAATGGGCAGCAGACCTGGAGAGCCAAGAGGACCTAGACGACTTCTACAGACTCTACACACACAGCTCTCAGAGTCGCAGGGCTGTCAAATATTCTGGAAGACAAGGTAACAGTTTTCCCCCAAGGTGACCTTTGAAGAATGATTAGTCCCCAGACCCACGCTCCTCCCCAACAACGCACTCCCAGCCTGAATTCTGGACGTTGACCCCAGATCAGAGGGAACTCCCTCTCTTCTGATAGACTGGGCTTTGTTTCATATCATTGAATCTAAACTGTTTCAGATCATTGGGACTGAACTGTTGGCTGCCGCCTCTTCCACACTGAAATGTGACCCTTTCCTTGGAGAAAAGAAGAGCGAGTGCCCCAGTCTGTCCATCCCACAGGGTGACAAAGGCTGGGAGCTGCCCAGAGCAAAGCATTGTGAGTCATTATGGTGGCAGCTCAGAAGAAAAGCAGGCGGGAAATACAGACTGGTGGCTGCGTCCCTGCCTCCTCGCAGTCACACCGGGGACAGCCTGTGCCTACATCTCCCTTCCTGCTTTGTCCCTCTCTCATCTCCCCAGCCAACTGTGACTGGCTAAATGAGGGTTTCTGAACAAAGTGCAGAACACAGGGAAAGGCCTCAGTGAAGCCGGATAAAAGAGCAGGCAGGTAGGTATGGAAGCCGGATGCCGAGTGAGAAACTTGGCGGGTTTCCTGGCGGCCCCCTCGCTAGGTGCATGGCTGAGCTAATTCATGCCTGGGTGACAGGTCGTGAGCACGCTGGTCTTTGTTGTCTAGTAAAACTGCACATGTGTGTGGCTTTCTTTTTCACTTTTGTCTCCCCATCCCCATTCCCTGGGGCTTTAGCCCTTAATGTGATAACTTTGAACATCATTGACGTTCACAGAGGGGGGGAAGGAACACACCGAGAGAGGAATCCTCCTGGGACAAGGATGCAGCAATACAGGAATAGCCTTTCCACTAAGGCCATACACGAGGACTTCAGAAAGTTAATGGAGAAGAGCTAGCACGTGGCATGGTGGTTAAGGTGCTGGGTGCTGGACTCCCAAATGACTGACTGACCATGGTTTGAGTCCCAGACCCAGTGGCTTGATTTTTCACTTTCCCTTCCCCTCTAACCCTTTCTCTGGTGAGCACACATGTCCTATAGATAACTTTAAAAATAATAAATAAATAATAAATATTTTAAAAAGTTCTTGGAGAGATGGATTTTTTTTTGGGGGGGGGGGATTAGGGGGGGGGGGTTTTTTTGACCAAGGGGGATGACCACACCGCAGTCCCTTCTCCATTCTCCTCTCAGAATTGTGGGCACATAAGTACGTGCACACACATACACCTGGTCCCGGACTTGAACCACAGAGTTGGCCATGGGGGATCCAGCTGCCTTAACCATCATGCCACAGGCTGTCCTGAGAAATGAAATTTTTAAAAGCTTATTTATTTCTTCCATGAGAGCCAGAGAAAGGGGCACCCCTAGAAGGGCCTTTGCACCATGACTCACCCCCAGGCTCAGTCTGCCCAACTCATAGGCACATATGTTGCTCCTGGCATGAAAAGATAGGTCCTGGGACAAAAGCCCGGGACCTTCCCACTGGACGCATGTGCATTACTGTCCAGCCCCAAAGTGGAATTAAAGTATGAGTTTATTTTGGAGCAGTGCACGTTTGAAATCCATCCATGGCTTTTTTGTAATACACATCGCCATGAACTCTTCGAAGACCCCTCCTCTTGATTTAGCAATCCAGGAATTGCAATCTATTGTTGCTGTGGTGGACCAGGCCACCCCTCTTCTGGAGAAACCTAGATTTCAACCTCCTTGGACCAGAATATTAAAGGGACTGAGAAAAACACATCATCACGAGGCTTTGGTTAGCAAAAGGTGTGTGCAGAGAGATTTGGAAAGCACTGTGGAGACTCACAAGAATATTCTTTCTAAAAGCCGTGTGGAGTGAGAAGTCCAAATGTATTAACTAAGCACAGGATTCGGGAAAAACGACTGTCAGTTCTGAAAGCCTCAAAGGCAGGTCTCCCCAGAGCTACGTCCCCCAGATCCTGAATATGGCCTGGAGGAACTTGCTTCTCACTTCCTCTTCCAGAGGGCCTGTCCTGACTTCCTCCTATGGCTGCCTCTGAACCTGTGTGCTGGTACTGCGATGCTGGCACTGAGCCCCGGAGGTGGTAGCTAGCTGCCATCCTTACCAGGTTATCACATCTCTGGGAGCTAGGGCTTTCTGATTAGGACCTACCATAGGGTCTAGCACAAAAGAACTGCTCAGTAAGTGTTCGTGGAATTAAACAAGTTGAGCGAATAATACTGAATAAACCTAACTGCATGTCTCTCCAGCATTGATAACCCAGAGTTGGAAGCTGAATTCTGTACAACCTTGTCTTCCTTCTGCTTCTATGGCTATGCTGAGAGAGAGCTCACAGGGTTGGCAGATGGCGTGGTGGTTAGGATGCTGGACTCCTACATGGCCGACTGCAGCTCGAATCCTGGACCTGGAGGCTAACTTTCTCACTTTCCCTTTCTTTCTGTCTCTCTCTGGCCAAATAGAATAATAATAATGACAAACAAAATTAAATAAAAATTTTTTGAAGAGGTTTTTGCTACAGGGCGCATGTGCTCTCCAGAAAGGCAGAGAGACAGAGAGACAGAAAGCGAGAAATCACCTCCCAGGGGGGATGGCCACACTGCAATCCCTTCTCCTCCATTCTCCTCTTGGGATCTTAGGCATGCACGCACATGCGCCCAGAGTGAGTATAAGCCTCCGGGTCCAGGACTCAAACCGCAGTCAACTACATGGGAGTCCAGCAACATAGCCATTACGCCAACTGCTGGTCCCAATCATTTTTTTTTAAGAGAGAACTTGCTACTTAAGAACAACTTGTTGCATTACTGTCTGGCTTTGGCCATTTCGTATTGTAATAATGATAGTAATCACAGCAAACATTTACATGGCGTACTGTACACCAGCCAACTCTTACACATTTAGAATGTGTTAATTAATCTAAGCCTCCTGACTACTCACTGAGTGTAGTCCTGATAGATGAGACAACTAAGGCCCAGAGCCATTCTGGAACTTATTCAAGGACATACCGCTCACCGGTGACAGCTAGATACGCAGGCACCACTCAGCCCCCTTGTCGATATCCTCGGCGACTCAGTTGTCAGTCTCTAAATCAGAACTCGCCCTCCTCGTCCTTTACCTCTACTAGTGCTTGTCCTGCCGGGTTAGTGCAGAGCTGGGTCACAGCGCACGTCCTTGCCAATGTCCACGTGCCTAACCAAGTGACTTGAAGCAGAGAGGGCTGTCTGTCTGAAGCCTAGTCCTGGGATTCTCTTTGCCCATCCTGGCTAGGGACAAGTGACGATGAGCTTGACCCTGGGTCCCCCTGGCACGGGAGTGAACTCCAATCTACCAAGTGGAGTTCTGGCCTGTAGCTTCCTTCCTGTTCTCATAATACTCCAATTGGAGTTTTCCTTTCAATGACCTTTTTAACACATGTGGTTGCAGCTTCAAACCACAAACCACTTATATTTTATTGGCAAGTGCTTCCTCTAATAGAGTTCTGTTGGATGGGTAAAATATTAATATTTATCTCCAGATGCGCTTGTTTCTGCACTTTAAACATTTTTTTCTGTAGGACATGTGCTCACCAGACAGATTGAGAGAGAAAGAGAGAAGTGAGAAAGCACCCCCAAGGGTGATGGCCACAACTCAATCCCTTCGCCTTCATTCTCCTCTCAGGATTTTGGAAGCACACGCATGTACGCACACACACACACACACACACACACACACTCAGTATGTTTTTCAAGCCACCAGGTCCAGGACTTGAACCATGTGGTCGGACATGTGGGATCCAGCCACCTTAAGCATCACGCCACAGGCTAAGCTATTTCTGCACTTTTATGATGCTTAAAAAATGATAATCTCTGGTTTCAAACCCTTCTGTGTACCCACTGCTACTAGACTAGTTTGTCCCCCACTCACTCCTACCTGAACAATTTCTTCTTTTCTCCTCTTCCTCTTTCTCCTCCTCCTCCTTCTTCTTCTTTTCTTCTTCTTCTTCTCCTTCTCCTTCTTCTTCCTCTTCTTCTTCTTTTTAGAGATTTTTGCTATCAGTATGTGTGCTTGCCAGAGAGACAGAGAGACAGAGACAGAAAGCGAGAAAACACCCCTCAGAGCAGATGGCCACGCTGCAATCCTTTTTCCTTTCAGAATTTTGGGCACATATGCATACATGCCTAGCATGAGTTTCAAGCTGCCGGGTCTGGAACTTGAACCACGGGCAACTACGTGGGTGTAGTGATGTAACCACTACTCCATCTGCTGGTCCCTCTACCTGAACAATTTCAAAATTGGTCTCCCAGTCTGCAGGCTAATTTCCTCTAATCTATCTTCCAAATAGGTTTATAGGTTTACAGCCTCATCTCCCTAAAGTACAACTTTGACCATGTCATTCCTCTGCTCAAAAATCATTTACGGGGGGCCAACAGATGGCATAGCGGTTATGTCACTGGACTCCTACATGGTCAACCATAGTTCAAGTCCTGGATCCAGAGGCTTGAAACTCACACTGGGCACCTATGCATGCATACCCAAGATCCCAAGAGGAGAATGGAGGAGAAGAGATTGTGGCATGGCCATTTCCCTGGAAGGTGATTTCTTACTTTCCCTCTCACTGTCTCTGTCTATGTCTCTGTCTCTGTCTTTCTCTCCCTAGTGAGTACATATGCCCTAAGGCAAAAACCGCTTTTTTAAAAAACCATTTATGGGCTCCCAGTTGCAAATAATTCTAAATTCCAAGCACTTGTGTCCCGTAGCCCTATGGGGAACTTACCTGCCATAAATACTCATCACAGGGACCAGCAGGTGGCATGGTGGTTGAGGTGCTGGACATTCCCACATGGCAGACCATAGTTTGAGTCCTGAGCCTGGTGACTTGCTTTCTCGCTTTCTCTCTCTCTCTCTCTCTCTCTGTGTGTGTGTGTGTGTGTGTGTGTGTGTGTGGTCAAATTAAAATAAATGAATGAATAAATAAAATTAAATAAATAATCCTTTAAAATAACGCTCATCACGAATTTTGTGCCGTAGCCAAACGCAGCAAGTACGCATCTTTCAGAACTGCCCTGCCACCCCCTGCATCTGTGCCCTGCCCACGCTCTTTTCTCTCCCTGCACTTCCTTTGTCCGTGCCTTCACTCGTTCTTTCATTTGTGTGCCTATTCCTTCAAACTTTACTCCTCCAAAGGGGCTTACAGTCCAGTCTGGATGCCTTAAGGTCACATCCATGACCACTTGTCACGATCTAATCCTAATCCCTCCAAAGGCCCCACCACGCAGCAGCCTCCTAGCATCATTCAGTTTTCTCCTTCATCCCATCGCAACCAAATTTCAACACATACATTTTTGGGAGGACACAGTCAAGCCACAGATCCTCCCAAGCTTCAGCCCTGAAAACCCAAGGTCCAAGGCTGAACTCTTCCCCCCCCCCCCATCTTGCCTCTGTGTATGCACCTGTGCTAAGAGGGAACTCTCTGCTTTAGAACAGCTCTTTCCATTGCAGTGTGGCTTTGGCCATTTATTTATTTATTTATTTATTTTATTTTTTATCATCATATCTTCTTCATATTACATTGGATTACATATAACTTTACAGTGTATTACATTGTTTCTTCAAAAGGGAATGCCATGCACGTCAGTCAGTACAGAGACATTAATCTCCCCACTTCAACATTC